AACAGGAAACTCGGGGCCTCATCCTGCAGATCGAGCAGCCCGGCGGGTTCCAACGCATTTTCCTTTCACACGCTCGTTTATCACCAGGAGCGTAGCTAGCCTTTAAGCCATTAAGCACGGGCTTAAATTTCGAATTCTGTAAACATTTTTTTTTTTTAGTAGCCGAAAGGCCATATTTTCTTTTTCTTACTATCCAATAGCGAATAGCCGCTATATCAATGTTTCATTTTGAAAAACAAAATAATTACTTTCAATCTTATACATGAAAAATGCTGAAAGGTTATTAACAAAGCAGAACTTTGAAATATTTTTGCGCACGAAAATTTAGTTGACTGTTGTTTTCTTTTTTGGGGCGGGGGGACGTTGGCAAAATTTGATATACGACTTGTGCTGTACAATTTGGGCTTAAATGGAAAAAATGGCTGGCTACACCCCTGATTACTAAAAAGTACTGTGAGAGCAATCTTTGCAAATTTATCATTAAAACTTCGCAAATTTATCATTAAAACTTCGCAAATTTATATAAGTTCAAACATAAGTCCAATCGACTTCACCTCTGTCTTCCTGTATTTATTTTCCCGCGGCGCTTTTAGCTGATGCACGGAGTGAGAATGTTCAAGTGAGTTCCATTAATACGGATTAAATTTTTACTTGAAGTATATATACCACTGACTATTAGTGAATGTTGTTTAACTCAGTTGTGATTATAGCAGGATCAACAAAAGTAAACAAGTGATTCCATGCTGCTATACGTGACAATGTACAGGTAAACAAATGCTGGCGCGGTCAACATGCTATCATTAATTTTGCCGGAAGGATCGAGAAGTAAAGTAAAGTAAAGTAAAATCCTTTATTTAAAACACGATTATCGTTTAAGCACTACATGCTTGAGGGGTCGTGTATCTAAGGAGGCGATTTTTATAGGCACCATCTTCGTCTTGATTAATTATTGAATTGAGAAAAAAAAAAGCAAGGTGGAGTAAGTTGTCGACGAGTTCAGACGAGCTGAAAACAATTATACAGGTCCGATTTCAAGCTAGGTAAAATGTTCGCTCTTTAATTCGTTGGCTGGTGTTTTCAGAGCAAGTGCCTAAAACCGTTACATACTTCATGGGTAAACAAGAGAACGAACTAGACATACAGCTTGTTGTTAAACCAAATTTACATTTCTTACTTGATGTACTTAACTTTCAAGCCAGTAAAGTGTATCAGGCAAGAAACATGGAAACCCTTTAGAAGTCAGTAACACCGTGACTGGACAGCAGACTGAGCTTTGTAATGTTTGCAGCGTTAAGAGTAAAGAAAAATATAAGCAATTACAACTCTTAGTGCAAAGGTCGCCAACGTATCGCTAACTAGGCCAGAAAGTAAACGACTTACCAAACAGTCCCCCAGGTTTAATTATATTGTTCATCAAAACCAATTAATCATTAATTGATATATTCTTACTTAAATTAAACGAGCTAAGAGTACACATTTTGTCGCTAAGATACTGTCTTCTGCGTGATCATCTTGGAAACGTGTCAAATAAAGATTTATTGTTTTTCTTTGACGATCATAGTGTTAAAATCGCATGTAACTGGCAAATCGATCTCCTGGTCATGCCTATTCAGTCCAAGTGAGAGTTTTTTTGGAATTCGAATTTACTCGTTATAAGTGTCATATTCAATATACCGTATATATGCCTACGACTGTTTCTAGCTATTCTAAAATTTATAACACCTGATATCACAAATAAATTTTAATCATCGTCCCATTTAAACGTTGTAAATTATGGATGATGTTTGTACGTTTGTGGCTTATGGTTGGCCGGTGAATTAATGGCGATGAACTGTTTCTTGAAGTGAATAAAGATGAATAATAACTGCAAACATATTTTGGACTTGCACGAGACACACTGTTGAACAACTTTACCAATCGCGAGGACTTATTTTTCCACTTCGCCCAATCATGTTGTTTCTAACGGTGACAAGTTTAATCCGATAAGCAACTTGAGACAGAATCGCAAATTTATGCAACGGAGGTATTTTTAACTCGTCGTTCGCGTTACAAGTTTTCAAAAGATTGTCTGGCTATGCCGAAACGAGTAAACAAGTACAAACAGTCCAGTTTGAGACGGATACAAGAAGGTGGAGAGGCAGAAGATAACTTCAGAGGCAATGGATCAACACCAAAGACACGTAAGCGTATATTACCTTTGATAACATGTCTTAAATGGAAAATTAGAAACGTTAGAACTGTAAAAAGTTCATTCCTCGTTGGTTAAATAAAGCTGTTATGTTATGTATGTCAGTATGGTTCGTAAACCAACTTTCAGGCACGTGTATATGCGCGACTTTGCATGTAAAGTCACTGAATTATAATGGCTTCTTTTTTCGTAGTATAATAATTATTTTATTGCCAACTAGTTCTGATCTCAAAAATCTAGCTGACTATCCTCTTAGAGTTCACCTCTTTCATTGAATTCTTTCTATCATTTTGTACCCTGGTTTAGAGTTTTTCGCTTTTCTAATCCTTGGTAAATTTTTGGGGCGCAAAGCGGCGAAAACAAGTATCTCGGTTCAAAATTTCTTTCAAAGCCATTGAACTATTAAACTTAACGGGTTCGCATGGAACTTCCTGTCATAAGTGAACAGAAAACTGCATTATTCAGTTTGGCGAAATCGAGACTCGATATGTATAATTTATAATAGCCAACTGAATATATATTTCTTTACCCAGCAAGATAAGGTTAACACTTATTCAGTATTGCGCTAAAATTATTTTTTCTCGCGGTTATAACGAAGACCCCCACCGGAGAGACCATCGGAGAAGTGAACTGTATTTACAAGACTTCTAAGAAAGCGACAGAGATAATAATACACTAACGACACGTCATTATCTATTCCAAAAAAAAAAGTTTCGTTAGCGCCGACCAGGTGTAATGTCGCTGAGTTTATTACAAGATAAGAAAATGATTAGAAAACTAAGGCAAATATGTCAACTGACTTAAAACGGCGTTTTAATTTTCCATCCAAAAACGCATCAAATGTTTTCCGTCAACACTAAAACACAAAGCCGACATTTTGAGATTCCTCCTGTTTGAAGAGCCTTTTCGAAAAGCTACGTTTTCGTGACGGATTAGTGTGGACGGAAGGCGTAACTGTAGAAATAAAGCTGCGTTTTCAAATTTCTCCGGCATAGTCTGGACAGTTGAGTGAACTATGTGTAACCGGTTGACATATTTGCCGCACAACTTTCAGCCACTCTACTTACCGCTGCGTAGCGATGTCGAGTCTTCTAAAACGTAAAAATAAACTCGGGTAGTCCGCTCTTCCTTATACGGCTAACAAAACATACAAAACCATAGCGCTAAGTTACAACTAAAGGTACAATTTTTTCGTGTGTAATCATGCAGCCTTGTATTGCTGTTTTCGGATGGTTACTTCGGCATACATGCCGATTTTCGCGATCTTAAATTTGCACTGTGCTGATATATGCAACAAGTCATGAAACAACATGAAAACAGATTTTTCTTTGTCCCATGCTCGCGACATGATGAGCTTTTCATTTTTCAATATAAAAACACTTGTAAGCGATATTGTGATATATTGTATTGTATTGATATTTATTTTTTATCATAAGTAAATCATAACTGGTCGTTGTTAGCCTTTTCGCCTTTTTCCGGGGGGTGCGGGTAGGGGGAGGGAGCTTAAGACTTTTCGAGAAATGATGTCAATGATTGTGTTATTCGTGAACCAAAAGAGTTTCTCGAAAAAAAGCTAAAATTACTTATCTTTAAACTTACAGTGCCGATTAATAAAATCAAGCTATTATATATCAGCTGCTGAGTCAGTGATAAATTATTGCTACATTTGTTGTAGCACACTGGTGTTATTTAACGGAGTGAATTCCGACCTACAAGCATGCATTTATACCATCCTAGCTGAATTGATTCTATGAAACTGATTTTCATGGGCAGCTCGAAATTTGAGTTTGAAAGTTGTCAGGTGCAGAGATGGTCTAAATATTCGTCTACAAATTAAGCTTAGCCTAAATTTCAATATCGTGGTTTGTGTGTTAAAATATAATTCTTGCGGTTTTTCTTAGTTAAGTATAATTTTGCGTGGAACGACCGTAGTGTTTATTCTGACAAACTTAGAGTAGGTTTATTCTGACAGTAATTAGGCTAAAATGTTCACAGAAGCAAATCGTAACACGTGTTTCACTACTGTGCCTTTACACTCGCTCAACCAAGTTTCCACACAGGTTTACGAAACCAACTTGAATTTTGACCGTCTCGTCTCTCAGTCCAGTTTTCTGTTTTGTTCTGTTTATTCGATACAATTGCCATTTTCCGCTCTATGAAAGAAGCCAGGCCATAATAAGGGAGTTCTGGTACTGACCATGCTTATAATCAAATGATATAACAGACCTTTAACATGCTTATCATATCAGGGACAGCAAAGGGGAAGCATAGCCCTACCACATTTATTGCATGCTGGGATTTATTTTCTATGGCTCCGGATGGCGCGCAAATGCAAATAAATGGCGAAACACCAATCTTTTTAACGTTTGTATGTATTGGCCAGATTTTTGATATAACCCTACCACTTTGAAATGGTCTCCGCGGTCCCTGTTTATGGCATAGCTTCTGCGGTTCTCGTGTGTGTTATAAGTAAAACCATTGCAGAGAACACTAGATGGATCTGATCTCCCTCCCTTACCAGAGACATTTTACTGACACTGTTTCTTTCAAATTCTTTTGTGCGTAACTGGAAATATTAAGTTTAAGTGTTGCGAATGACTGTCATGTTACGCTGCATCAAGACTAATATACTTTACTTCTGATCTTTATAAAACTGAGTTCAAATCTCATTTTCTCTTGGTTCAAACCTATTACTGTTGATGACAGAAAACATTCCGTCACATCGCGCGAAAGCGCCAAGTTTTGTGAAGAGCCTGGGCACCAGTTTAAAAGCGGACCAGATGCCGCGAAAATCCATGAGCGGATATCAAAATATTTCTGAGCACGGAGTTTTCGCCTTATTCTATCTACATTTGATTTTTTAAGTGATCTAAAAATGCTGACACAAGTGACTACAGCTCCTTACAGTTCAAAAATATACCTGCTATGCTCGTAATTGGCAATGAAGCATGTTAATCGTCAACGTTGCATAAAGAACCACATTATCGAAAGCTTCGCTTGCAGCTGTGCGTAACTGCAAGAGACTTTGAGATGGACAAAGCTGTTTTACCTCGAAGACGTTCTCAACCTGTGTGATAAACCTTAACGGCGAGAAAAAACAACTTTTTCGCTCATTTCTGCGTAGATTACGAAGTAAAAGTTGTTATGATGCTTGGGTATTCATTCACGCGGGAAGAACAGCTGTATGGTAAAGATTAGGAGCGCTTGTTTGTAAACCATTATTGCTAATTTTGATGCCGATTTTAAGTTAATTTTGAGTTAATTTATCTGTCTTTTTCTGTAGCCATGATGGGCAAGCGAGCCGATAGTCTAAAAGGACTTGGTCCGCCAAAGGATTGGGAATTAGTGGAGAGCATCGGCGAAGGAACTTATGGCGAAGTTTACAAGGCAAAGAACAAGACAACAGGCGAAATAACAGCGGCGAAGGTTATAGATTCCATTCACGAGAAGATCGAAGATGTTCTACCGGAGCTGGAGATTTTAACGAAGTATTCTACCCATCCAAACATCGCTGGATTTCATGGAGCTTTTATTAATGTAGACACAAAAAGACATGACCAATTGTGGCTTGTCATGGAGGTGGGATATTGCTGTTATAATTTAGAGATTTCTTTTCAAAGGTAGTGTTTGGTTTATTTGAGCTTATCTTATAGTCAGAAAGACCGAATTGAGAAGAACCCCATGTATTTACAACCAGTGTTCGTTGGAGCAATCAACGATTTGTAGATTTTATTTCAGCTGAACTTCACGTTTCAGTGAAATGTGTAAGCTTAATAATTACGAAACAAATATCGGTTTGATTAGTAGATGGCAAAGAAAACAGCTCTTAATTAGCGTGAAACAGTCCTAAGCCGAGGAATATTAATTCTTTCTAGTTCTGCTAAATTCTTTGGAAACTTTGCAGAAGATTACGCTTAAAGACTCGACAAAAGTTGTCAAGATACTTGTTTATTTTGGTTGTTCGAGGTTTACCTAATAATATATGCGAACCCAAGGCATAAAATATAGATCTTATCATTGGCGTAAGAGCGTAATTTCTCGGCTCTGTTACGAGGCTGTTAAGCTTTCACAGTACAGTACATATTTACAAAATTTCAGTTTGCGAAAGAAGGATAAAAAAACAATAAAAATAAAAGAATTACAAATAGGTTGGAAAATTGAACTCAATCTAAGAACAGAGACCATGATGCTATTTACTAAGTAAACAGATAAGAAAATCCAATTTAGTCGGTGAGTGGTGATTAGTCAAGGTTCTTTTTGAGTGCTGGCTGCCAGCTAAAAAAAACTGACTACTTTGAATTCTGAGCAACCTACTTTTCATGAAATAATACAGTGTAAGTTGTAAAGAATGATTTAGGGTAAACACGTTTTTTTTTGGAATGCAAGTCCTGAACCTTGACTGTTCCTTAGCTAGTCTCACGACAATCAAGGCTGTAGCTAGAGAAGGCGCATAGGGTCAGGGTGTGGTGTAGGTTTAAAAATTGGCACTTTGATCTTTTCCAAAGCTGATTTTGGTTTAGGAAGTATCTTCAAGAGAATGTGTAAAATAGCATTTCGGAGCCTGTCAGTTTCAAAATTTTCGGGGGAGTATACCCCAGACCTCCCTGGAGGCTTGTCCCTTCAGGATTCAAATCAGTGTCAGCTGTCTGCTTGAAGAAACAAGCCCTCAACTCCCTAAATTAATGAGAACCCTGGTTAGTGGTTAATAATTAAGAAATATTTGAAACATTTTCCATGTTTCTATCGGGTTTTAGTACAAATCTACTATTGTCTTATCACGAATGCCAGTCTTTTATTGGCGATGCTACTTACTATCTACTCAGTTTTAGACAGTCAGTAGCCTAGTAGTATGCAGTTGTTAAAAACAATGATGGCTGCTTCTT